ATCACTTCCCAAAGCCCTCGAGGATCCACTGGAGAGCAAACCATTGCTGAAGATTCAAAAATAAACAAGACGTAGGAAACCTACCTTGCCTCAGCATGAGGTCCTAGGCCCTTCTTGCAGGTCAGTCTACATTTAAGTTCATGAGAAAGGATTCGAGATCAGGCCTGGGCTACCTCAGAGACATCTCTTCTCACCAAATGCCTTCTCTTAGCCTTGCCCCAAATGCACTTTTCCAACAGGCATTTTTTGAGTGTCAATGATGTTTTGTATAGCATGCTGGGAATACAATAAAGAATAACAAATCACCCCACTCCCTAAGAAGCCAAAGTCACTTAGAGTTCCAGCAGCACTTAATTTACATGGAATGAAGAGCCAGGGGCTCTGCAAAGTGACACTTGAGGCAGAGGAGAAGAAAGTAAATGTACAAATGCTCTTTGTTCCAGTACAGGTAAGAGATGAAGAGAGAGAAGATAAGGAGGGAGGGAGGGAGGAAAGGTCAATAAAATAAGTAAACCAAAAGGAAAAACTATGCAGAATGTATGATAAATGGAAGGATATGTTCTTGTAGACCTGAAGATCTCACTTGCAAGAGGAAATAAGATATCTTTCCCTCTGAATCTGAAATTACAATGTTTGAATCCTTGAACTCCTCCAAACTCAACCTTTAGAAAGACCCACAGATGTCTATTTGGTTTTCAAATAACTGACAAGTACCTCTCAAATTTGGAAGAGTACTCCTATGACTTTAATACATAGTCTCTGCCTTGACTGACAAACCAGAGAAATTAAAACAAATACTTCATTTTTAGAATAACCTAAATGACATAATTTGTGTGACACAGTCTATGACACTCGTCTTTTTCTATTCATCATCTGAAATCTCACCAAAGGTTTTTGGAGGATCCCAAATGATTACACATTTCAGAAGCATTGTAGCCCATCCAAGGTCAAGATCAAAATACTGATTATAAACTTCTACTTTCTTTGGAGAAACCACTGTCCAACTAAACAAGTACATACCAGAAGTGGCTGACCCAGCCCATGGCTCCAGAGGTGCAAATGTGACCACAGCTATACAATCTGCATATTCATGTCCCTGGTCATATTGTTTAAGACCTGAGCACATGACCCAAGACAGTTCTTGGCATAGGATTTTGCCGGAACGACAAGAAACCTAGAGTTCTTAAGCTGGTAGAATGTATTGGCCTCAGGCATGGCTGAGTTTATATAAACCTTCCACTTTGGAAAACTTGACTCAGAAGGCAACCAACAAAAGAAAAGCAGAGGCAAAATCTAGGAAGATAGACACTATCCAAATGACATTAAGCATCTGGATCCAGCCATGCCTGAGGCCGATATATTTCCTGGATTTTATAATGATATGAAGCATAAAAAAGTCCTATTGCTCCCTAATTCAGTTTGAGTCCAGTGTTCTTCATTTGCATTAATAAGAATCTGGACAATACATTCCCCGTATGCTTTTTCTTATTTCCCATCACACACAATCAACCTGATACACATAACCAGTCCCCAGCCTAATTTTGCCTTTACAGTCAGGAACATAAATTGTTCTTTTGCAGGTTGTTTTTGATGCCTCTAGTCCTTTAAAATGGCAGCTAACCTCTGTGATATTGACCATCAAACATCAAGTCCCTTAGGTACTCTAGCATGTCAGCTTACTTTTTTGGTCACTAGGATCTCAAGGACAGGCAGGTCAACTGCAAATACCAGCTCATCTGTCATGTACCGCCTCCAAGAGCCAAATAAATGCTAAACTCTCTGAGTTCTGCTCTCTCCACCCCCATGGATTATAGATTCCTGGAAAGTTTTCACCATATCTCAAAGCAAATGAAGAATGTTGGTTGAAATGCAAAAGAGCCTCAAATCACAAATCATGTTCATTGGATGAAACGCAACTCTATAACATGTTAAGATACCTTCCCCCCCACCGCACTCCCCAAATGAACTTACAGAGAACAATTATTATCTAGTCATAACTCTCTAAGTTAGATTTTTAAGTTGTTTTTTATCGACAGCTGGTTATAATTTTGCAAAAGAGTTTCTCAATGGCGTAAATACTGTTGTATCCCAGAGTAATTTCAGAGCTAATCGATCACTCTTACATAACAAGTACTCACTGTGAAAATAATGTCCTCGACCGCACAATGAACTTGAACACATATTCCAAAGCTTTTAGAGTTCTTAAGATCGGCTCACACTGCTCCCCTCTGCTGGAGGTATCCAAGTAAGTCTTCAGCACCGTCATCAATTTCCTGAATAAGAGATTATATTTTCAAAATACATCTCTTCCCAACTCCCAGCATGGTAATTAGTTTGCTCAGTAAATTATAAGGCATTCAATCAAAGGTTAAAGGTGGTGGTATAGCCAAGCTCACTCGCTCATTTAAAACCATAAAAATAACTCTGCTTAAAAATTATATTTAATGCAAGGAATTATTTCCTGCCTGTAAAAAGTCAACAAAGAAAAAACTAGCAAGGAAAAAAAAAATCTTTTGACCAGGAAAACTAGTAGCAATCAGAATATGAGTGGGAATAATTGTGGTGATGTCTTTTTCAGCTTTTTCTTCCTACATAAAATGTTCTTGTAATATCATAGGACTCCTTTGCTTAGAAATTGTCCATGTTTCTTCGTTACCAGCAAGGCAGACTTCACACTATTTGATCTGCCTTTCAAGGTCCCTTCGCAAACTGGCCTCCATCCAAATTTCCAGCATCATTTCTTATCTCTAACTCTCAGTTTCCTAAACCCAAGCTATACAGAGCTACTTGGCATGTGCACGTTCTTCTCTCTAGCCTTTGAATCCAGTGTTTATCACAAGTAGCTGCTCAATAAATGATAGCTGACTGACTAACTGAATGAATGAATGAACAATTTCATGTACTTCTGCCACCATAAAGTATCCCAACCTATGGGTTTGCATATTTTTATTTAATCCAAATAACCCAGCCACAGACTGGGTTTTGTCAGAAAAGGGAGAACTCACACAGGGTAGTGACAAAAGGAAAATACTCAAGTTCCTTGTGCTCTAGGTATCTAGCCAGGGCAAGTAGGAGATGCACAGTTACTTACTTGTAAGCTAAGGTAGCACTGAAATGCTGTTGAATGTAAGCCTCCAGAACAGTGTTGAAATGCTGGAATTTTCGGTCAGCAATGAGTCCTATTATGTAGATCTGAGGAAAAGGCAAGGAATCAGTGTTTTCAGGGCAGGCCCAGGGCAGGATGCCATATTCATATGGCATAATGGAACCCCTATCAAATTTTTTCACCTAGGAATTAGCTCACTAATATATCTTTAGTCATTTTCATTAAGGTAGAGTCTCTCCGAAAAAGTGTTTTATGAAGTACGCTACTGGGCATTATAAGATAAAAGGGTTTCAGTCAGATAAGTTTGAGAAATCTCAAGCTATCATTGTTAGACTGCCTTTTTTACTGCAGGACTTATCAGAGCCTTTCACATACCTATGTGCACCATGACTCTCAGAGATACCATGCAATGTTCAGCACTTCCCAACGTTATTTAATCAAAGGCCCTTTCTTCAAGAAGCATCCTTCCTTAAAACTCGATTTCCAGATCCTCTTAGGAAGAACTTGGCTAAGTCACAATTGCCTTCAAGTAACCAATTTAAAAATGTAAATGTCACTGACACAAGGGGTTAACATATTAATACTTTATTGATCACTGAATCCTAATGCAGATGTTTCTTTGGTTTATTTTGACATGACACTGAGAAAATGTGAGTTTGGACATCTGGAGGAGGAAGCAACTATTTGGGAAGGTGGAAAGAAGAAAGAGGAAAGATCTGGATTGTACCACCATCAAAGGTTCTGGGCAGGCAGGAGGAGTGTAATGCCTCTGATGAGTTGGAGAATATGAGGAAGAAGAAGGTAAAAGAGAGTTTGGGTGCATTTGGGGTCCTTCACAACCTGGCCAAGGACTAGCTCCCGGCAGTCACAGAAAGCTGAAGCAATCATTCATAGTATCCGGTTTCATGTACTTTCAACCAGTGCCAATCTGACATCAATACTTAAAATTCCCCTTTCGCGCACCCTGCCCGTGCATTCAAATGAGCTCAAAACAAATAAAAGGAAACAGCAGCTCATTCCTTGGTCTGGTTGCCTAGTGCTACAAGTCCTCCAAAAGATTCGTGAAAAGGGCCATGAGTTCTCAGTGTTCTCTCAGCAAGTCACACATTAATGTCTAATGTCACTAAACACCTGTTCCCTCTCTCTTACCAAAGCGTCAAAGACGAGGATATCGTACTCGTTACTTTGAGAATGCTCCATCATGATGTTGAAGAGGGCGTCCAGAGTATCCTGGAGAAACTGGGCGAAATAATGAAGATCACATTAAGAAAGAGTACAGGTGACCCAGAAATCCACTCCTCAGTGTGTACCCAAGAGAATGAGAGCGCATGTCCACTACATGCATGATCGAGGGGTCCAGGGAGTTTTATCCACAAGAACCAGAACTTGGAGCACCCAACTGTCAATCAACAGCACAGTGGATGAATACATGGCGACGTTTTCACACTGCAGAAAAATCCACAGCAGAAACAAGAGCAAACTATTCTACGTGGAATGATGAGGACAGTTCTCATGAGCCCTGTGTACAGCAAGTAGGACACAAAAATGTGCATTCTTTATTATTCTATTTTTATAAAATTCAAGAACAGGCAACCCCCATTAATGATAATGGTAGTGGGCTTAGTGGTTTTCCCTAAGTGGGTTACTGACTGAGAAGGGTATGAGGGAACCTACTGCAATGCTAAAAATGTTCTGTATCTTGATCTAGGTGATGGGTACGTGGGTGTATACATGTGTAAAAATACACTGAGCTGCATTTTTAAGATAAGTGCTTGGTACATATTTTACTCTATGTGTAATATATTTTAATAACAAACTTAAAAAAAGAAGAAGAGTGCAAAAAAGAGACAATGGAATTCACTCCCAGATGATTTCTCTAAGTTGACCAAAGGTGACAGACCTTATTAAAGAATGTCTGGAAAACTGCCCTGCCATTGCTGAACTAGGTAGGTGGTTCAATAGTGCACATTTAAAGCACTGATCTGGGAATTCAACCATGGTTTCTCCATGTATGGGCAATTAACTAAAATGTGATACCTCTTTCTCTTAAGGCACGGGTCAATATTTCCTATAGTCCTCAAAATACAGAGCTACCATATAAAGATGTTTAATCTCAGAATTTCTAGCTGTATCAAGTTTCTGATGAAAACAAGATCACCAGGAGGGTTGCTTTAATTAGATCTGAACTTCAGACACTATATTCTCCACCACCACGTGGACACAATACTTTTGACGTTTGCACTGTTTTCTGCTTATTCACTTAAAATGAGAGCCCTGATGTTTTTTCCTTTCTCATGTTTAATCATAATAGCCTCTAAGAAGCAGGAACCAAAAATACTTTATTTCTAATAGTAACACGTAGGTAGTACAAAGAGATATACTACTATAGCAATTCATAACAATAAAAATAACAGTTACCTTTAATGAACTTTGTATATTTTGTATGTTTTACTTCAATTATTGTACACTATGTATAACAGACTTGCTGAGTCATTTTAAAGTATTAACACCTTGAATGTTTACAACCCTGTGAAAATGCCATATTCATAATATTATCACCTTAAGTTGGCAAGTGGATGAGCTGGAATTTACACACATATTAATCTATTTCCAAACACTGGGCACAACCATACTTTTCTGCCAATCAATATTCATCATAATGAACAAAGTTACTCCCAAGGTTTCCCGGTAAAGATTTCTCATGGCAACTTGGCATACTGTGTCTCACTGTCAGAGAAAGAGTCATCCCACCTTCTTCAACACTTCACTTCCATCCTGTAGCCACACACGATTCAAAGCTCTCTCACTGGAGGATGAATACAAACTAGATGAAGCCCCACTGACCTTCACCACTTCCTCTCCATCCACAATCTTCAATTTCTCTAAATTCTCCTGTAGCAGTTGAGGCTTCATACGCCACTTCAGCAAACCCAGCAAGCCCACTGAAATATAGCACAGACAAGCAGAATTACTACGCCTGGCCCAAACTGCCCACACCAGGACCTCCTAGGGTTCAGGCATGCACGCACACCACATATACACGACCTTCAATGGTCCCATTACCGTTCTGGGTGAGCTTTGTGGAGCACACCAGGGTAGAAATGGAGAACACATCCCGGGAGCTGACAGAGAGCCCCCCGACACTGCTGGAGCTTCGACTCAAGGTAACCCCCTTGTTTTCCACATGGTGTCGGTAGGAAGGGAGAGTCAAGTAAGCACTGGCATCCTCCATCTTCTTGCTGTCCCCCTGGAAACAACACATTGGTTACTTCTCTAAGCCAAGGGTGTGCACCCAGAGCTACACAGAGCTTGCAGTGGCCAGACTACACATTATGAGGCAGGGAGGGTTGGAATAGTGAGGAATGTCATCAGAGAAGCAACAGATACCAGCTGGTAAGGCAGGGCTGTTTTCTCGAGAGTATTTCAAAATACTCAAGAACCTGAGGTTACTTTAATGGAAAGGGGGTTGATTGACCAGTTGAAGGTTCTGTAGTCTTCATTAGTGGGAAAAGGAAATTGAGGATTCCTAACTGGCCATTTTAATTCATCCTAAAGTATTTGAGATCTTAATATACACACGCACCAGGAAGATAAGAGATCAGCTTAAAGAAGTTAACAGCAAAGGTACTGGAGTCTGAAAGCCCTGAGATTGAGACCCTTTTCATTCATAAGTCTGTGCCATCTTTGATACCTTCCTTGGTCTCTGTGTCTCATTTTTCTCATGATTAAACTAAGGGTTAATCACATTTCCTACTTTCTAGAAATTTTGAGCAGACTAAATGGCATAGTGCACAAAGAACACATAACGCACAGATACACACATAAGTCCCTTGGTATAATGAATGACCAGAAGTAGGCATTACAGGACTTAACATTTATTGAGCCTTCACTCTGTACCAGGAGCAATACTGTGTGCTTTAAATGCCTTAGTTCATTTCACTTAAGCCTCAAAACAATTGTTACTGTTGTGGATACTGTTATCTTCAATTTACAGATGAGGAAACTGAGTCTAAATGAGGGTGAGTACATAGAAAACTGATTGCAAAGGGGCCTTACCCCCAGTGAGTTCACAATCTGTTGGGGAAGAATGGCTTTTAAGCCAAAAACTGCCTTCACGTGTAATAACTGCCTTCATGTGTAATAAATGACAAAACAGAAGCCGTATATAAGAAAGAGAAGGGAGTTTCTGGAACAGTCAGAGAGACTCAAAGAAGAGTGCCATGTGATGAGGTCCTGATGAGGCTGTTTGCCATGCAGATCACAGAAAAAAGAGCAGTTTCAGCCTCCAAGGTTGATAAAGCCAAGGGCAAGTGTTTGATCCTTTTGCTGACCACATAGCCTTGCACTGTTTTGCAGCCACATGCTTTCCCTCCAGCCAGGTGCTAGCAAAGGCATTCTGCTCTCATAAGAGGGGTGTGGGAAAGCATGCAGTAAGATCAAGGCAAACACTTCCTACTTCTTGAAAACAGTCCAAGTCTCATGATGCAAAAATAATGATGGTTGACATCTGTACCCTCTGTACATGGCCCTTTCACATCGGTCATCTCATTGGCTTGTCATAAATATTATCATCAACATATCATCAACACTTGAGAAAGAGGAAACTGAGACTCAGAAAGACATGCGACATAGTCCAGATTTAGTCAGCAGCAGGATTAGGACCCTAAATCCTATTTTTTTCCATTAGCTACAGTGAAGCATCTCTCAAATATTTTGTGCTGGTCTTCTACACATCCCACAGAGGTCCCTTCAGAGCCAGCAGCCCTTTCTGTTTGTAATAATCATCTTCCACTTATCGAGTGCTCCTTGTACCCACCATTGTGTGTATGTATCATGTAATCCTTACAATTATTTACTGAGGGCTCACAGATGAGGAAACAAAGGCCGCACAGTTAGTAAGCCCTGGTGTGTGTGATTCTGGGGTACCTGCTGTTAACCACTAAGCCATCCTGCCATCTCCCTGTCACTGCCTGCAACTCCCACACTGCAGTTAGTTCCAACTCATAGTACCTTTAGGACAACCAAGTCATGGCATCCATCGTGCAGAGTGGTCCCATCTTCCTTCATCAACTTCACATAGGACATGGCAAAGTTCTTTTCTCCTCTGTCTTTAGCTGGAAATAACATTGTGAGGTCAGGAAAGAAAATGACACATGGGCCACCCAGCTACCCGCCTCCTCGCACCTTAAAGGAACTGCAGAGATGCCATTTGGTTGGGTACTCACATTCCAGGGATGACCGATGTCGAAACATGAATCGCAGATGGATCCTTTGCATGTCTTCAATAGGGACAGCCACCTCCACAAGCAGAAACCAGAGCTCAGAAGATCATGAGTTACAGGGCCCTGCCCACTTCCTCCACTCCCCAAAAGACAGCCTGGCCATTTAACTGAGAGTGCTGCATGCTGACTTATTACCCACCCATCAAGCCTGATGAAGTGTAAATAAGTTACATAAGAACGAGCTATGAAGAGAAAACGAAGTACCAAATGTAATCCATTTGGCAAACTGCAACCCCAGCCAATGAAGAGAGATCTATAAATTGCAGTGAGGAAAAATGAATCTCCCCAAATTGATATAAAAGTCACATAACTTTAGCACAGGATTTGATGCACTGCAAACTGCACAATTCACATTTTCTTTACACCCTCCAGGAGTTTTGGCAATTGAAGTAGGACTTAGCCCATTAACAATGGTCATTAGGGGTTATGCTTAAGGATTCTCATTTATGAAAATTAATAAAAATGCTTGAGTCCAATAATATTTGAGTAAATCCTAGGGCTCATTACCATCCTTGTTTAGACACACATCCAGATGTTTTGCCTCCAAGGACACTGAGTCAAGATAATCACTCCTCATCACCCCAATTTCACTGTCCAGTGGTGGTCCGCTGTACCCTTGAGTGAGATGCTTTGGTGCTCTGGACCACCCCCTCCCACAGCCTATGGCTCTCTCTGTAGTGAGCAATTCAGGCCAAAGCAGAGAAGGTTAGCCGCCTGTGAGGAAATCACTTCGATTTTTAAAAAGGACAAGTTTATACTGTACAGGTGACTATTAAAATCCCAACAGATGCATACTTTGGGGTCCTTCCTGCTCCAGAAAAGGAAATTTGAACCTGAAGAGGTCCACATTTGTGGGATCACACAGAACAATTCATTCTCTCCCTGTGCACTAAATGGTTACTACAAGCTACAATCATGTGAGGCACCGGCCATGCTGATGGGAGTCCCCAAAACTCAAAGAGCTCGTGGTCTACATGGGGCAACACATGATCACACTAACTGTGGGACAGGCCTAGCAAAGAGTATAAAGTATAACTGGGCTGCAAGAGAGCACAGAGAAGAGAACACCACCCTGCTCTAATAGCTTTCTGACCCCAAAGTTGGGCAGGTCATCATTTTGATGAGAGTGAATACAGAGAGACCCACTGAGGAAAATAGGAATACAGGTAACAAGGCAAGAACCTGTGAGGTCTGAATAGCTGTCTCTGAAAAAGAAGTTATGTGAACATCTTGAGTTTGGGTTCAGAGTAAAGGGTAAGTAAAGCCTGCTACTAATTACAAGGCAGAGGTATTTGCAGCTGTGATCAAGCTTCACTGTTCACTGAATTAATTCCAAACTCTTCTTCCAATGCACAATATTCCCTTCTGCTCGGTGGGATGATCTGGTAATGCAAATATCTGTGATTAACGCCACTTCCTTTGAGGCACCCTCCCAATATAGGGTATCTTTGAGGTATTACATAGCCTTTTATAGCCTCACATTTGCTCACAAGCTGTCACTCCTCACCACTGAGAAGAATGACACAACTTAATGGGCTGGGTACCATCTACAAGAGGACCATCTGACAATTCCATGGTGGCTAGATCCTAGGGCAGTGAAGGGTGATCAAGAGAACCAGGGAGCTCACCCACTGTGCCATGATTTCCATTGCCGATGCACCACTGGACACACGCTGGGGTATTGTTTCAGATCTAAGGGAGGTGCCTCAGAGCCCCCAGATACATGTTTGCTGC